GGCTTTTTTTTTTTTTTTTTTTTTTTTTTTTTTTTTTTCGTTCAATTTCGTTCTATATACCTAGATATGTTACACTCTTCGTTCTCCCACGGTACAATTACTTTTCTTTCCTTTTTTTTTTCTTTTTCATTTGTGTCTTTTCAAAGCCAACGACAACATTATGCGTATAGCTCGGCGAATCGCGTCGTGTGAGCGACGTTCGTTTCGTTTAATTGTCACGGATTCGATCAACGATTACAAGGCTCTTGGACAGACATACACAATAGTAGCAGGAAGCAGGAGAGGATCTGGTAGACAATCAGACGGAGCTATAACACCGATTGTCGAAAAGAAAGAAAATCGAAATGAAATAGAAACTCAACGATCCAGTTGTAAGTTGGACTTAAAAAAGAAAAAAGAAGAAAAACATTGAACCTCGGTTCTTTTTTTTTTTTTTTTTTTTTAGAAAATTCTTCTAGAAAATTATTGCAGATTATAGCTCCGTCGCGGTTGAATTGCATTTAACAGTTACGCATATTATATCCGGTCGCTCTAGAACATTTACAAGATGGTTGATCGAACGTGTGTGTTAGAAGGCTAGAGACTCTCGCGAAACTGTTATCCCGACGATTCGAGGAATCCGAGGAGGCAGCCCACCGGCATTCCTAGGCACGTTTTCTTGGATCGTCTTGCTCGTCTGCAGAACTTGCGGCTCGTGATTCTCTTCATGGACCGCGCGACACACCTGTATTCCAGACACGAAGACTGTTTCGTCAGCGGGCCCTTTTTCTCACTCAACGTTTCTTACCAGCCCCCGTCTTCACACAGATCGGCTGTCACTTCGTTTTTTTTTTTTTTTTTTTTTTTCTCTCTCTATCATCTAACACCCTCTGCTACGTGCTTCCTACTTTGTCAATTAAATCACTGCCCAATCTTCACGTGGACACTAATTTGTTTCAGTGTTGTATTATAGTTCACCCATATGCCACAAGTATGGATGTTAGAAAAAAAGTAAGAAGAATATTTGTAAGACGTGAAACTATAGACATTGAGACAAATAATTGCGTAAACCAATACAGAATTATATACAATGTGAAAAATTATAGATTGTATGATATAATTGTGTATTATAATTTAGTAGCTGCTACTGATAAGCTTTATGTTCTTTATGTTCCTTTCGAAGAACTTTCCTGTGTTAATTGTCTTAATGTCTAATGTTAGATCTTATAAATATTGTTCAAATTTCTCTAATATCCTACATGTATCGAGTGTTCCACGTAACTGGGCGAAATTTTGTAACGACGACAGGCAAACAAAAATCACTCGAGGTAAAATTAAACGACCAAATTAAAAATAACGAAGAGACATGAATACAAGAGTAGTTCTTCGAGTTAATTATTTTCGGACGCAAGTAATTTGATGTAAAATGAAAAAATAAAAACGGGGAACTTTAACGCACTTTAATTTTACCTCGCAAAAAGCCGATCTTTCAAAAGCTACAGCTTAGCCCAACCACGTGAAACACTCTGTGTTCTTTCCCTCCCCCCTTCATTACCATGTTTGTCAAATCAAACTTTAATTCTTCCGTGATGAGCGTTGATTCGGTTCAAGTCCTGGATGTTCATGGGCAGTGATTTAACTGCGCGGATTACCACAGCCAGTTCAGATATTTACCGCTTCCGAAGAATCCCTTCTTGGCCTTCTGGTCGCTCGGTTTGCTAACCCCCGATGACACCGTGGCAGTCTTTTTGCTGTCCTTCGCGGTGAGCTTGTTAATCGGCTTCAGGCCGGGTAGCGCCAGCTTTTCGGACCTCTCATGTACTTTGCCCTTGTCCTTGGTCACCGGGCCGACTTTCGTGACCTTGGCGACCTTGGTGCCGTGGGCGACCTTGGCAGGACAGCACTGGTAGGGCTCATAGGAGGGAATCTTGGGTTTCGCGCTTTTACCTCCCATGCCGATGTAGAAACAGCCGTCGCCTGCAGTAAGCAAATATACAACGAGTCAGATACAAGAGAGATTGATTCCAGACAATGATGTGTGGCAAAAAAAAGAGAGAGAGAGAGAGAGAAAGAGAGAAAGAAAGTGATAGAGAAAGAAAAAGTGATAGAGAAAATTGGCTAGCCTACGGGTGATTGATTCGTCTTTTCACGAGTCAATGCGGACGGGGTAGGTTGAAAAATAAAAAGAAATAAAAAGAGAGAAACAAAGAGATTTAGAGTGGACGGTAAGATAGAAATAGAGAGAGAGAGAGAGATAGAGAGAGAGATAGAATATTGAGAGATAGAGAAATTGATATTTGAAAAAAATATCTATATATATATATATATGACGGAGAGAAAAAACAGATGGAAGTAGAAGAATATAGAGAGACATTGAGAAGAGAGATTGACTCGTGAGACGTTTTTCGACGTTAACTAAGTGCAGAGAGAACGTGTCACTCCAACCCCAAATTGCGCAGCAAAAGCCAAACGTGCATGTTTTTCTCACAGACGAGAATATCTCGCGGCGAGTCGACGACTCTTTCGTGGCAGCCATTTTAGCGTGGACCAGCCTCCACTTAAATCTTTGTCGAATTATTGAAAAAAAAAAAAAAAAAAGAAAAAGAAAAAGAAATTCCGAATAGGAAAACAACTTAAACTGATTTCTTCCAAATTGATATTATCCAAATTTCAGTCATACCGAGTTGTATGTGTTAACTTCGTTTTTCTTACAGATAAAATTAAAGTTTAAAACACACGGTATGAATTTCTATGCTGAAGTTTCTATGCAGAGTTTCTAACTAATCTATACAATGATTGTTACACACACGATTTCTATGCTTTTATGTATACGAATGAGTGAAAGTTTTCTGCTGAATTTGAAGTTAGTGAAGTCACGCGAACAATGAGACTGTCGGCATGTTTAATCGGTCGCGAGATATTCCGAACGAACAACCCCCTTTCCGCGTCATTTCCCCGCTCTTTCAAGCGGAGGCCAGTCCGATTCTCTTCGACTCGGAGCTCGCTGCAGACGACAGCTGTCAACTACAACAGGAACCATCGGCTCGCTTTGGAGAAATAGTTGTTATTTCGTTTTGTTGGGTTGTAAAAGTGCGGTCGAGGTCTTCCGGAGCTACGATACCATCGTTCGAACAACCAACGGCAGCAACTTTACTTACCTCGGTCATCGAATAAAAATAAAACAAACAAAAAGAAAATCTAGCTCTGAATACGAAGAAAGAACGAAGAAAGCCGTGTCGTGACAAGTGCGTACGATCTAATCACAGATAAACGTAACGGACGAGACAGTGAGTTGATACGAATCCAAATTTTTCCAAAATGGCAACCGTGTTTGGTAACGTAGCTCCATCGACAAAGGGGACATGTCACAAGGCTGGCATGCAAACGAGGGTAGATTCAAGACTTTTCTAGAGGGTGGAGAGTAAAAAGTAAGGGAGACGAAGGGAGCCAGGCTGACTTAGTCAAGGCAAGAGTTTAAAAAAATAAAAAAAAATAAAAAAGAAAAAAAGAAACACAAAAAAAAAATATTTTAAGAATTTTAATTTTCATGCAGGTACGCCCTACGGCCACCAGCTCGGCCATGTACGGCGAGCAGACGGCCCAAAGATTTTCAATTAATCAAATCTTTCGCTTTAGATTACTTGTTACAGTCAAATCGAATCGCTCTACGTGGGATATATACATATACATGTACATCTCTATCTGTTTTTTTTTTTTGCAGGGATATCATTGTACATGGTATATTATTATTTGCTTTTCTATTTGGTGATTCTTTATATCGCGCATTATAACACAAAGCCCGTCACACTTCGATCTCTCACGTGAAATCCTCTTCGGCCTCCTTGGTTGTCGTCGGACCTTTACCTTTGTCCAGGATTTTCTTCAGGGCTTTGTTCAATTTCTCATTACTCTCCTCGTCTTCGTTTTCATCATCTTCATCGTCGTCGTCGTCTTGGTCATCGTCATCGTCGTCTTCGTCGTCTTCGTCTTCATCGTCATCGTCGTCATCATCATCATCATCATCATCATCATCATCATCACCATCATCATCACCATCATCATCATATTCATCATCATCATCATCATTATCATCATCATCTTCATCATCATCATCATCTTCATCATTATCATCATCATCATCATCATCATAATCATCATCATCATCATCATCATCATTATCATCATCATCATCATTACCTGCGTATTAACAGGGTCATCGATAATATTCTTCGCGGCCGGAAATGAGAGCGTGTACCTACGTTTTTTGTGATCGATACGATCTCTCGGTTCAAAGGATTGCATGCATTTAACGTTTATTTAATGTTTGAAATGGATCACGTTATTTACGTTATATTAAAAACGAACACGTACGAATTTGTTCACGATATGGACGATCGCGACACAACATACATTTGGCAGTAATGCACTGTATATGAACGGAAAAAGTAATTCATGTGTATCATTGTGTGTGTTCGCGGAAGTTTCTTTTCTCTTTTCTTTTTCTCCATTGTTTCGTCGTTCGGTGGTATAGATATTTATTAAAAGAAAGGGAGATAAAAGAGCGAATGATTGATTGATCTCTCGAATGAATGCACTTTCCGAGAATTAGAGAGCAAATAGTTGTTCCTTCTACTCAACGATGGATTCACGACGAAACAGTTTAACGAAAGATCGCGTTTAAAGAAAGATCTTGCATCGCAAAACATCGCGTTCGCAAATTTGAAACGAAACAGATTACGAATTATAATTGTCAACTACATTGATAGTAGCTATACGCTCTGCTTTCATCTTCTCATCGAAAGAACCGCGCTTGTTGCCGAAACGAACGATCGAAATTGTTGTCGAGCGTTTTATTACTGCTGTGTGGTGGTTGAGCGTGACAGAGCGGTGAAATAATGATAAAACTAAATGAAAACGAATGTGATTGAACAAACAATAAAAAAGAAATAGAATAGAATGAAGTAAAAATCATTAAGATAGAAAAAGAGACAGAGTGAAAAGTGGAATTGAGAGAACAAAAAGAAATGGAAGTTCGCATTGTGTGGGTGGAGCTTTTTTTATAAATGCATTTGTGAATGGATCAGTTGGCCAGAGCGATTTTGCGCGTTAGAAGCTATATATCATGTAAATCGAATCAATTTCTTTTGATCTTTTTCACCGAGCTTTGTGAGATCTTTCTTTCTTTTTTTTTTTTTTTTTTCTTTTTCGTTCTTGTTCTTTTCGAAACCGAGCAACGAATGCTTGTCTCATCTCACCGCCGATCCTCTTCCAATCATCGACGCCCCTCAACGCTTAAAGAACAACTCACCACTTAAAAATGTAACAACGTCAAGCATCTCCGTACATGTAACAGTTATTAATTTCTATATTAGGCAAACCAACAATTTAAACTAACTCCTCGTATAGTAGTATTAAACTCTATTTCTTTTCGTTATATTTAAAATAACATCGACTGGCTTCAAAATAACACCAAAGCGTATCTTTAAGCGTCACTATACACGTGACTGCATATACAAGAGACTGCAACGAAAATGATCATTGGTTGCTCTTTCCGAACACGCTGTCAAGGGGATTGTGATTGTGGCAGAACGATCGGGGTGATCACTACGGCGCGAGTATTATACTCGTAGCCCGGTGGTATTGTCACGACCGAGATTAACGTCACAAAGAACAGTACACCAGTAATAATAATCATCATCCTAGAAATCTCCTTACTTTTTTGTTCGATTAGCCATTCCAGAACTCTCTCCTCGTTCTTAAGATTACCTACAAAAGGCACACACGCATATCAGGATCAGCTGAGTCGCTTGGTGAACCGAGATTTCATTTGTTCGGTTGGCAAGGGGCGAGGGTGGGGGTGGGGGGTTGAAAATAGAATTTCAATGGTGTCGCCAGGTTTCTTTGGTTCCGCGGGGTTCCTCGTGGGATGGATAGCCAGTTGTTCTTCCTTTTATTTATTTATTTATTTATTTATTTTTTTCTTATCAGTTTAACGTGATTTTCGTTTGAAGATGTTTCGTTGAACTGGGGAACTGCTTGACTATCTAAAAAGATCTTCTACATTTTTACTTTTACTTTTAAATTTATAATTATTTTTACTTTGAACAAATCGTACTATCTCGCTTTAAAACATTGTAGTTCAAAGATGCAAAAGTTTTAGAAAATATACGTTCCATCGTGCGATTGGCATTTCTTTGCGTCGAGGGAAATGAAAAATAATATTTACTGTATGATGAATCAACTTTCTTAAAAATCGTTTCTCTTAACCATAGTCATGAGTAAAATCTGAAAACTGACTTTTCATCGTGATCCAATTGCGATCGATCGGAACTTTCTCGAATGTCAAAATTCAATCGATCAAAGAAGAACAATGCAGAGCCAAAAGAGGAATGTCTACGAGGAATGTAAAGCAGAATTTTCGACGTGTCTTTGTTTACGTAACGATACTAAACAAAACGAAAAGAAACAAAAAAAAAAAAAAGAAAAAAAGAAATAAAAAGATATTGAAAATAATTTCACTGAAAAAGAAAGAGGAAGAAAGAAAACAAAGACGATCGAAGTGAGGAAGCGCGTGTCTTGATCGCGATCGAACAAGCCAAGGATTAAGCAATCGAGACTTACCGTCGTACATGATGGGCACGCCAGTCTCGTAATAAACGAGCGCCGGAAACGAGAAGACGCCAATTTCCGCGGCTAGTTTCGCGTCGTTCGACTTAACGAATTGTATACCGTGTTTGTCAGTGTCGTCGTCGATGGTCTCCAGCTCTTCGAGTATTTCCGAGCACGTTTCGCATTTGTCATCGTCTGTTTGGAGGAAATAGCTTACTTTTTTTTTTAAACAAGAAACCTTTCCTTTTTACTCTCATCTATCTACTCTGATGCATTCAATTCAAATATTCCAATGATATGAGTCGAGAGTTAAAAGAGAATCGATTTATGGCTGATTTGTGGAATGTAGGAGACTTACAAAAGAATACAGCGAGATGTTCAACGTCGTTGATCAGCACCTGTAGAGTTTTCCGGTCGACGTTCTCGATCACATCCGGTGTCTGAGTTCGAAGCTCCAGTATCCACTCTAGAATCGCTTCCTCGTGCATCATGTCACCTGTGTAAACCTGACGGAATTTGTGCCTGTAGAAAGCCAACGCTGGCAGCCCAGGAAGATCGTATTCCTTCTCGATCCCTTCGTCCGAGATCTTCACGAAGTCGATGTCTTTCTCCTCGCATTCGTCGTCGATGTTCTCAAGTTCTTGCAGGATCTTCTGGCTCTTTTTGTCTCCTTCCTTATCTGGAATCCATATACTGATCAATTAGGGAGGATTTATGATGTAAATGTTTTCTGGAATTTATCTTAAAATTTGCTTGCTGTTCCTTAGTTTCTTTGAGAAATTTGATGCTAGCCAAACAGAATTTGCTAATCTAACAATCACACAAGTATAGTAGTTGGTTGACAGTACTAACAAAAGAAGACAACAATGTAATCGTTCTCCTCAAGAATGTTCTCCAACATCTTGGAATTCACTTCCTCGATTTTCCCTGGTATCTCGAGAGTGTCCTCGTCGGTGATCCACGAAAGAACCTCGTCCTCATCCTCGATATCGCCCTTGAAGATCAAGGGCTCCTTGTTCCTGAAGAAAGCCAGGGTGGGAAAGCTTTTGATCCCGTGTTTCTTCGCGAATCCCGTGTCTTCCGTAGTGACGAAGATGATACCAGTTTCATCTAGCTCGTCGTCGATGTTCTCGAGCTCTTCGAGGACTTTCTCGCACTCGTCGCTATCCTCGCAATCTCCGCCTGAAAAGCGCGAAGAAATTTTTCCCAAGTCGAGAGAACATATATTATGTATTTCAAATTTCGAAAGCAATAGACTCACTGAAGAACGCGACGACGTATTCGTGTTCCTCGATCAAATCGACCAGTATCTCGTCCGTCACTTCCTCGATGGTGGCGGTGTTCTTCTGCTCGATCAGCCACTCGAGAACTTCGTCCTCGTTCAATAAATCTCCCTCGTAGATGGCCGGGATCTTGTTCTCGAAGTAGACGAGAGTCGGAAGGTGATCGATACCGTATTCCTTCGCCTCGGCGTCGTTGTCCATACGAATGATCACGATCCCTTCCTTCTCCAGCTCGTCGTCGATGTTCTCCAACTCGTTCAGGATACGCATGTCCTGCTTGTCGTCCTTGTCGTCTACGGAAAGGAATCAATTCGTGTCTCGTTTTCGCTCGCGATCGACCAACAGCACCTACCTAACCGGTAACAGTGGAAGAATGTTAAAAGGAGGTAGAAAGACGAATCGATCGCTTACAAAACAGGACTGCCAAGTACGGCGAGGTCTCAATCAGCTTCTCCATCATCTCGTCGGTCACCTCCGGTATCTCTGTGTGTTTCTTCTGATGCAGTAGCCAGCCGAGCAGTTGATCCTCGTTCATCAGATCTCCTGAAAAATTCGAATAACTTTTATTCGTAATTTTGTCGAGTCTTTGTCTGAATTAGGATAAATATATTTTGTAAAGTGTGAAATTTTTATTTTCAGCTCCACGCGCGCGAAGAGGATTGGAGAAGTATAATTTTTCTTTTTACGGGGGCGGGGGAATTTGAAATATTACAATTTTATTTTTATTTTTTTATTCTCTTTGGCGCGAGTCTCTTTGACTTCAAAGATTCGCCAAGATTTTATTTTGATTTCCTATCATCTCTTTTCCTTCTTTCGAATTTCTCGAGCATTCCGAAATTTGTATGCCTTCCGATTTTTGTCCCTGACTAAATGAACTCGCGAAATGAAACTATACAATGATTACAAAATTACTCATTGAATTTTTACATCATATTTGTTGCAAAAATTTAACACTATAAGATTGAAACATATGGATAAAAATTTTTTAAATTGGAAAATTAAGATACCTTCTCTTTTGCAATCATTATATTTTCACTAGAATGATTTGAATCATTATGAAAAATACCTTCGTACACGTGTGGTATCCTTTTCTCGAAGAATACCAGCGTAGGCAGAGAATCGATTCCGTACTCCTTGGCTTCCTCTACATCGGAAATCTTCACAAACGCTATATTATGCTGGTCACAGTCGTCATCGATGTTCTCCAATTCACCAAGAACCTTCTGGCTCTTCTTCTGATCCTTGTCATCTATTAAAAAAAAAAAAAAAAAAATTAACACAATAAATTCAATGCACAAAATAATATCCTACATAAATATCCACGGTTGTATAGTATATACGTAAATAAATTCAAATAAATTCATAAATAAAAAGACATTAATCACTGACAAAAGAGGACGGCTACGTGAGGCATCTTCTCGATGACCATATCGAGCATTTCATCTGTGATGTCTTCGATGTGATCGCTTTTCTGTTGACCCTCCAGCCACTTCAGAACCTTCTCTTCGTCCTCCAAGTTTCCTTCGTATAGTGTTGGTATTCCTTTCTCGAAGTAGAGCATGCTGGGAATCTTTTCAATACCGTATTCCTTTGCTTCCTCCGTGTTGTCGATCTTCACAAAGATTATGCCCAGTTGATCGCACTCGTCGTCGATATTTTCCAATTCGTTGAGAACCTTTTGCGATTTTCGGTCGTTGTTGTCGTCTAACGATAATTTGCAATTTGAAATTACAAGCTTTTATTGGTTTATCGCCGAAAATTGTCTTTATTGTAAATTAGTTAACTGCTGCAAATAAAATTGATTTTAGAACCAACAGTTCTTTGTTAGACAATTTTTAGTCAATTTAAAGTTATCAAGTTTATTCTGGACATCCAGTTTTTCTTCTTTCGGTAATAAAGTCATTTCAAGTCAAAGTGAGTCGTTGACAAAATTATAGACTTCTAATATCATACTGACAAAAGTGTACAAAAATTGAATCGAAGATCAGTTTAGAAATTGAATTGAAAATTAATAGCAAGTAAAAAATTGTGTAAGAATTAATAAAAATTTGGAAATTGATTAATAAATTCTGAACGAAAGATCTTACAAAATAGGACGGCAAGGGTTTTTCCATCCTTGACCAGGCGATCCAACATTTCATCAGTGACGTCCTCGATCTCGTCCTTCTCCAACTGCGACAGCAACCACTCCAGAATTTCGTCTTCGTTCTCCACATCCCCTACGATCGTTCAATTTTACATTTCATTTAATTTCCAACCGTGCGTCCAGTCTTCTTGTTTTATTCTTGTCGGTTTGCCCAATCGCTCCATCCATCTACCCACCATCGTAAAGATTTGGGATTTGTTTCTCGAAATACACGATCGCCGGCACTGAGTCGATTCCAAAGTCCTTCGCAGCTCTCTCGTCGTCGATTTTCACAAATTGTATCCCGTGCTTGTCGCAATCGTCGTCAATCTTCTCCAGCTCGGTCAGCACTTGCATCGAATCCTCGTCACCGTGGTTGTCTGAAAGGTTTGAATATTAGTAGAGCAATAAATAATAATAGTAAGAGCATGGAATATGAAAAGAAACGCAGAAGAGTATGGGAGAGGAACAGAAAGTTACATACAGAATAAAACAACTAGATTGTCGATATTCCCGATCAGGGTTTGCAGAGTCTTCGCGGTCACATCCTCGATCACGTCCTCTTCGTCCCCTGTGCTCTTGTTCGCTACCAGCCATTCCAGTACGTCCTCCTCTCTGCTAAGCTCATCTACACAAACGTTCGATTAATATCGCTCGAGCCAATGGAGTTAGAAATTAAATGAAATCTAGTCATCTACAGAAAAAACAATTTCAGTTCAACTTTACTATCTGACAGAAGAAGAATGACTAATTTAAAGAATAATTTTTCCCACTTGTTTAGAAATTAAAATATCTTTCATTTACTCTCTCTCTCTCTCTTTCTCTTGTTTCACAACTTCAGTTTCAGCGATGCTTACGCTCGTAAATTATAGGAATCTGGTGCCTGTAGTAGACCAGAACCGGAAGTGGGCCTAGATTATATTCGTCGGCGAGTTGTTCGTCCGCGATCTTCACGAAACCGATCCCCAATTGATCGGCCTCGTCGTCGATGTTCTCCAGTTCTTGAAGGGCCTTCAGACACTTTTTGCAGTCAGGCTTGTCTGTCCCATTTGAAATAAAGAACAATGTTATTCGAGTTATTACGCGGTACGTGCGCTATGATTAACATACGGAAGATAGATATAGGGGAGTTTTCGAGCTGATAACAAGTCTGGTTAAATCGGATATATTCCATTGCGTTTCTTCTTTACGCATCAGCGGCGAATTTACAGGAATATACATTGATACCATTCCGTATCTTTTCTTTCGTATAACGAAATCAAGGATATTCTCGAGGGATTAGTATAAAAAATTTCTCTTAGTCATCATACACATTCCTTCTATTCTAGGGGGCAGGGGGATGCAAGATAATGCATATTCTAACATCTAAGTCGCGACTATTTTTTTTTTTTTAATGCATCACGGCTCTTGATAATTAGCAAACTGAAATACGATGTAAGAAATATTGCTTATCTTGTTTTATATAGAACTTTACGAAAGGGGAAATTTACGAAAGATCTTCATCAACCGGTTATTATTTTTACTGTCTCTAGAACCGACTCGTCTCGTGCTTCTTTGTCACCGTATTCCCTCTAGACTCTTCGGTTATAACAAATAATCGCTGGAAGTTCTTCAATGTCACTCGTAAATGGATGCTACTTGTTACAGACAGATAGACGCGTGTCGGATGGGGTGAAAAACGTATAATATGGAAACATATAATCAAGCATCACGTGACGTACCATCATGCTTCAAGAAGATCGTAAAAGTGAAGAGAGATAATTTCTCTTTATCTATATCTTTCGTGTTTTACTTTTAAACACTTGTAAACTGTTCAAATATTTCTCTTCTTCGCAAACATTCGAACTGGTGCATCACAGTACATGGGTACAAGCATTGCAAACGAAAGCTGTGCGACATCCATAGCAGTGATTTCATTGAAGTGTTTACTTACTAGAACCAACGCCAGCGCATCGTTGCGTATCCGGACCTATCCATATCAACACACACAAGAACGTTTCACATGTATGTATTATTTACAAGTATGTCGTAAGTGATCGGATCGCAAAGTGGAAAGAATCCATAGTTCACAAATTCTCACATTGAGGTGAGAATACCTCTAACGTTTCTACAACGTGCATTTGAAATCCATTTGAAATCCGTCCATCTTTGCGATGCGTTGATCGTGCCACAACGGACAATAACAAATTTTTACAGACGAATAGAAGAAAGACGAATACTGAGACGAAGAGTATCGGTGGGACTAAAGGAGAACGTATAACTGCACTCGTTTAGTCGAAGAAAAATTTTTAGAAAACGTCTCTCACGAGTAAAGCAAATTTTCTATGCATAGAAAGAATGTTGAATCTCTTCCTTTTCCTTTCCACGAGATACCAAGCAAATAAAATAATCGTTTTCCTCCTGAAGAATTTTTCTTCGCATTGAGAAATCTCGTTAAGGCGAGGGAGAGGGAGCAGGATGGAACGATGGTCACGTCGAGGTGAAAGTGGTATCTACAAAATAAACGCTGTAACGATATCTCGATACCGCGACATTGCATTGCATTGAAAAAAAGAAAAAAAGAGAGAGAGAAAAAAGTGAAGAACTCGCTCGTCGTTAATATCAGTGAAAATAAAACCAAAGAAATCCGCTTGAGACGTGTTAATGCGACCGAGCTTCTCAGCTGCTTGTGACACTGGTGAAAGCTCTGTTAATCGTAATCATACACTGGCAGAGTGTCTGCGCAGGCATATATTAGTCAGACAACAAAATAATAATAAGAAAAATTACTGCGTATTAATGTACACGAACTGTTTTTGGATCGATATACATATACTTATGTGCACATATATGTATATGCATTCGATTTGCACGATAATCAATTATTTACATGGCTGAAATCAAAATATCTCTTTGTTGTTCGAAGATTTGAAAAAATTGTATTTCATTCTTTTTACCTTCGAGAGAGGATTTTATAGTCTTTTTTTTTCGTTTAAATACTCTTTCTGACGAAAGGGAGATAAACTTGCTTTCGAGGGAGACAGAAAGAAAGAGATATGATTTTTTTTTTTTGTTTTTTATTGAGAGAAGATCACGTCGGAATTACGAGGGAAAGAGAACTCACAGAAAAGGACTGCCACGAATTCCGTATCCTCGACGATCTTTTCTAAGATCTTTGCGTTTACTTCTTCAATGCGATCGGGCAGGTCCATCGCTTCTAGACTCGTCAGGAAGTCTAGCACGTTTTCTTCGTCCATCAAGTCACCTGGAAAAATGGCGGACGAATGACGAAAGAAATTTGTGGATTTTTGTAATGCAAGAAATTTATTTTTTTTTTTTTTAGATAGAGAGTGAATTCCTCCTTCTAACTAGTAGAAAATTCATTTATCAAAAGATGATATTTTACCGCTTCTGATTAGATGAACTCTAGTACAAAAACGTTCTTTTCTATCACTTCCGATTGTCAGAAATTCAAATAGAGAAGTCTCTGACGTTTCAATGGCAAATAAAACAGTCTCTGACATAAACGAATTATTTTCGCCTAAAATTTGAGATTCTTAAACAGGAAGTTTCTTGACATATCGTGCGACATTATTTTCTTTTTTATCTCGGATAGCGCTGAATCATAAATAGAATTCTACGCGGCGATGTTTCGAAAGAACAGCCTCGACAGACGTGATTGATTGATTCATTGCAAAATCGAAATTTCTACGTTTGTACGTTTGATTTTGCAGAGCAAAAGAATTAATTAAGACGTTCGTGGCGCAAATTAATTGACGCAGTACCACGCGGTAGAATAAATCGGTTTATAACATGTATCTTCGATCGTGACTTCTTGTCGCTTCTATTTACCATCTCGAGCTGTCGAAAATAGCTGTACTGTTGCATTAGCCACAATGGAAATAGATGCAACCTGTCGTTACGTCATCGAACGGAAAATCAAGTCGAAAACGGTTCCGGGTAAACGTTAATTCTATCGAGGCTCTCCTCTTTTTTTTCTTCCCTCTCCCCCTCCCCCTCACTGATTTCATCTGGAACAGCATGGCAGAGTCATATTTCGCGGATCTATTTAATAAATGCGCAAGATCGCCTTGCCAAACGCAGGTTTTCGTCGATCACAATGCAACACGATTGATGATCACACTTGTACTTTGATCTACTTCCGCGTCCAATTTCCGAGCTTCTTCCCTCTGTTTCATCAATGCGTATTCTTTCATTCCGACTCCTGACGAAGAGAGAATAGAATGTATAATTCCGTCCTTCTTGGATAATTTATAGTGTCCCCGAACATGATTTAACCGTGTCGGCTGAATGCTTTATGTAATTGTAAAATACAGTAGAAGTTTTTTTTTTCTTTAGATGAACTTCATTTTCTTGGACAAAATTTTAGTTGCCGTTTAATTAAACGAATCCCTATTGATCGAATCTACTTGTTTCTGCTTTATTACGTAAACTCGAAATAAATTACTTGCAAAACTGAGTTCCAACTTTGCGTTTGATTTATACTTGTGTGAGAATTTCATTCAATTTTTTACCTTAGCTTCTCTATTTCCACGCGACTCGTCTCGTTCATCGTCGAATTATTTGATCGAACTGATTCCTCGTAATTAAGTTAATTAATGAATTTAACGTAACGTGATTCATCGAAATCGTAAACGTTATGTAACAAGAAATCCTCGAAACGACGTTCATTTATTTCCGTTCTAAATGTACCAAATGTCTGAGAATCTACGGACTATACTACTTCACTAAGATACGTGATACGTGAGAAATACCAAAGGCTAAATTTCTCAAACAAGTTGCCGTAAAAAAATAATCCAGAGAAATCAACTGAAAAATTTCAAAATTCC